CAAGAAGTTGTGAGTGTCTACATCATCATTTCCAGACATCTCCATTTCTGCCGTTTCAGACTGAAACGCAGCCCCAGAGTTGCAAATCTAAACTGGAGCCAGCAGCGATTCCAAACTTCTCCATTTTAGCAGGTCTACACTTAAACCAGGCAGATCTGTCGCAGTGTGGATGTAGCATAACAGAAAGACTAATACAAGCTCTGTCTGAATGTCAGATATGAGTCAGCCAATCAACATGAAGGATCAGACCTAGTGAACCTGCATCACATCTTTTAAAAATATCTTTTTCCATTTAAAAAAAAAAAAAGGCTTTATTGCAGTTATTGGCAGAGATAAGTGAAAAGCTCATGTAAACCTGTCATCTAAGGACACATAAGCCGAGACCATCACTTAGGAACAGGCTAAAGGCATAACATTTTATAGGTTTCTACTTGATAGGCTCAGATTTTACTGGCTTCCTTTGACAGCCCAAGGTGAATCTAAGGCTACACCCAACTCCACACTACTTGTTATTTAATAATGAGGTCTAGTGCTTAATGATGATAAGATCGTAAATTAAGCTTTCTCTTGTTAGCACATTAGTTAGAGAGTAAAGCTTTTGTTTGTTTCCCCCATCCTTTAAATCCTTCTTTCACTCACTCATTTCGCCTCCTTCCTTTCTCCTCTCCCCTCCCCTCCTCTCCCACCCGTCTCATGCAGTCCAGTGTGGAGTGCCTGCGGGAGAACCTGTACTCCTCATCACCCCAGAGCGTGGGCAGCCAGCTGGAGGCGTTGGTGGAGCGGACAGAGGATTTCACAGACTCGGCCTACACCAGCCACGAGCAGCGGCAGGCCATCCTCAGCGTGTGCCAGCTGGCGCGCCAGGACACTCAGCAGCTGATGAACGCCTGGATTGAGGCGGTATGTTGTGCATGTGCACAGATGTATACACCTCGACAGGGATTTCCATAAAAGCACATGCTACCGTATGAAGATAATTATAAGTACCTCATCTGTAAGACACCTGTGAAAGGAGAGTCTAATAATAAGACACACTTAAGACCCAAAGAGCAAAGAAATAAGACACACACACACACATAAACCCATACAAACACACCCACACACATTAAGCCTCCCTCTCTGGCTCCCTCAGTCATTTATTTTGCCTGCTCAATTCCTCTTCACTCATCCCTCCTTGAACAACAGAGCATAATAACCCACCTTAATAACAGTTTTTTTTTATTAAGGCTCTGTTGGCTGAGAGAGAAACATCACATAGTGTTCCATGTCTTGTTACCATTCAGCAGAATCTCCTTGGCCTTCAGATCTAATGGACTTATGAAACACAAGTCATTATGATGCAGTTTCTCCTTGCAAACATTTTTTTCCCAGTGTGCTCAGTTACACAGCAGACGCTGCTGCCACATAATTGTAGAGTGTTGTCTCGTGTAGCCTTTGCAGTTGAAGGTCATTGGCAGAATTGAAAAGGCCAGAATGCTGCAGTGTTCTGAAATTGCAGAGAAATTTGCATGTGCAAATATTCCTTGTTTTGATTTGATTTGTTTTATTCCGACTATTTGGCTTTTTTGTCATTCGTGTGTTTGTGAAGTTAGCAGCATTAAACAAAAACCATAAAACTTGGTGGAAGGATGCTGTATGGATCAGGGAAGAAGCCATTGAAATTCTGGTGCAGTTCAGAGGTGGATCCACGGATGTGTCTTTCACTTAAACATTGCTAGATGATGGACTTGTTTGACATTTTCACAGATTTCCTAGGGAATAATAAATGGATCTTGATCTCGGTTTAGTGCAGCTTGAATTTAAAGGGCCTGTTGTGCCATTCTAATTTAAATCATTTCATTTTGATTGCTCAAAATTGCATGTTGACTCTCTCAGAAAATAACAGGTCACAAAAGTGAAAAACCACAATATTTAGACTGACTTAATTTGCCATTCAAGTCATTTTTTAATTCCTTTTCTTGATCTTTCAGATAACAGTCTAGGCTTCTGTGTGTGACTAGAAAGACACGGTGTGACTCATGCTCTAGTCCCCTCTTCTTTTTTCTTTTCCGGCGGAGCAGCAGTCTGTCCACGCCAAAGAGGCCACGGAGGACATGGAGGTGGCCATCCTGAAGACATGCCAGAGCGTCAGTGAACTCAGACGTGAGGTGAGCAGCAGTCCATCTCCACTCTACATGGACTTCGTTAAAGAATAAGATACCTGATGTGGCTGTCTCTCACTTGCTGTTCTGCTCCTGTAGCTGGTTTCCCTCTTTTCTTTTCCGCATCACTCCTCAGCTCACCTGCTGCTGTTTTCTCTCTGTCAACTCATGTCACACTATCACCTCTGCCCCAATTCTTTTTTTCTCTGCCTCCTAAAAATCCACCCTCATCGACTCCTCTCTGTACCTCCCTCTTACCCTTATTCTACAATTTCACTTCTCCTCCTCTAGCTCCATAAAGTGGCCGTCGGTCGTGCCTCAGACCTGCTGAAAGTTCACGGAGAGCAGTTGCCTCTGCGGGCCCTGAAAGCCGCAGGGGCCGAGGGAAACCTTGAGGCAGTGGCTGAATATTCGCGCACACTCACCGAGCAGAAGGAGCAACTGGTGGAGGTGGGCAGTGACATGGGCAGAGGGAGCAGGGAGGCAGTAGTGACACTTTGTAGAAGTGTCCAGCTGGTTAAAAAAGTAGCAGATATCCTTTCCCATCTATTTCTACTTATAGGTTTACATTCTTGAAAAAAACTTGTTCATCTTGTTGCAAAGTTGCTGAAAACACATTGAAATGCCTGTGCTGCAACCATCATGTTGCAAGCTTTTGTTTATGCAAGCAAACACATCGCGCAGGAGTTGAATGAGAATGTAGAGTACACTTCAAATCCTCCACCAAATGAATGCCAACATGTGGTTTTATTATGCAAATACTGAGCTGAAAAGTACTTCACACGGTTTGTCATATTCTTTGCTAGTAGCACTAACAAACAAAACCAAAAATCCTAGATGTTAATTAAAAAAAGCTTAGACGACATTGAAGCATTAGTGTAGCAGATTTATTTATGAATCTCCTTTATTTCCCTCCAGACCTGTCGGCTGTTGTGCCATGTGTCTGGGAGTGAGCCTCTGGAGATCACCTGTGTACACGCTGAGGAGACCTTCCATGTCATTGGTCCACAGGTAATATTAAACCTAACCAAACATTTCCTGTATGGATTGTTATTTCATGTCTTAATGTCATGGCAGCCAACAGGGGAAAGAGGAGAGGTCTAGAGAGACATGCAGGTTCACTTTAATGACATTTAATTCAATTCAACACCTTTATTGCATGTCAGCAGAGTCAGCCGGTCACACGTGGCGGTCCGAGAGTGAAATGGAACCTGAGCGATCTTCTACACTGAAAATAGATATTGATGTCTCCTCTGTTTACCTCCGTCCATTCAAGATAATAGCCGAGAAAGCACTGTCCACATCGTCTCCCTGTCCCACATCTAATTATGTTTGCACTTGAAAACCATCCATGCCAGTAATTATCCAGCAGTGTAGAATGTTCCTGTCCTGTGGTGCGAATGTCAGGCCCTGCATGACTCTGCAGTAATGACTCCGCTCTTAAGTTCAAAGGTCAATCAATCAATAATTCTGCAGTTTAGGATGGCGATGGTGATATCTCTCTGTCTGCTCAACGTAATCGAGGGTGGCCCAGAGGGTAATTGGCTATTAAATACTACCCTGTAGGGGATGGGGGTACAGTGTGTGTGTGTGTGTGTGTGTGTGTGTGTGTGTGTGTGTGTGTGCTTGCATGCATCTTTGTTTGTGTGTGTAAGTTTTTTTGCAGATTTTATAAATTATGCAGCAACTTATATACAACAACTGCAATACAACCACACACTGTGTTTATAAAGCGCTTTGATAAGCTACATTCACCCATTCACACACACATTCATTCATTAATACTATACTTCAGAATGTGTACTGGAGAAGCCTGGGATCGAACCACTGATGACCCACTCTTCCTCCTGAGTCACAGCCACCACACATTTGATGATTATACCACGATACTGTTATCAACCATTATTCCTTTATTTAGCAAAACAGTATCTCGGGAGATGCAGCGGGTCGTTCTCTGACCAAAAGTTCGGAGGTTTGATCCCCAGTTCCCCCGATCTGAATGCTTGAATGTGTATAAAAATGGCGGAATGTGACTTGTGTAATTTAGTTTGAGTGGGCGACAAAACCAGAAAACTGCTGTGACGTTTTAAAATAAGATACATGGGAAATTCTATATTTGTAGTGGGAATAATTCCTCTGCAACATTGTGATGGAGGGTTAAGCTTTGTCATTATTAATTCAACAGGTAACATTTGACCATAACTCACAGCACTGTAATATTGAAGTTGCTTATTCATCAGGGTCATTTTAGTTCCTACTTGCCTTTTGTTTTATGTTGAGCAGTTGCACGTGTAACAGTGATGAGCATGTCAGTGGGATAGAGCCTGTGATCTGAGCCCAGAGAAGGAAGTTGGCTATTTTACTGTCTTGATTTGCTGGTGTTGATTAAAGGTTATTCAGCAGAACTGTAGCCCACTTATTACACACAGACCAGAGAGACAGGAGAAAGCTATTCATCAAGAAAACAGGAAAACAAAGCTTTTAACATCGCTTATAGACGTATTAATGACTGAGGTTTAGTTGTTGTCAAGTGGTAGTGCCTGTATTAAATGAGCTGTTTATGAGCTTGGGAAGAATAGCAGCTTCCAGTTGCATCTAATTGGATTGAAGATCCACCTCAGCCATTGTCCTAGTTTCCCATTTTCAGGTAAAAATTACTCCACATGCTGTTCCTCTTCTTCTTCTGCCTGATTTAAACCCTAATTTAAAGATTCCTTCTTCTCCTGTAATAATCTTTCACACTCCTGCTCAGATCATGTCGGCAGCTCAGACGCTGGCCCTCCACCCGTCCAGTAAGATCGCCAAGGAGAACCTGGAGGTGTTCTGCGAGGCCTGGGAGTCGCAGCTCTGCGACATGGCCCTGCTACTGAGAGAGATCAATGATGTCTTTGAAGGCAGACGAGGTGCGCTTTTGTTCAATTAATGATGCTTTGGTGGTGCGTTGGGGTGAGTCGGGGCGGTAGGACAGACGACACACACGCACTAGAAACAGTCTTGCAACTAGAAACAGGCAAAGAGTGAGAAGCAGAGGGGAATATAGGCCGTCTATGGTGTTTTAACCAGAAAGATTTCAATTCACCTCGATGACTAATTTTGCAACTGAAAACCTCAATAATCTTAATGAGAGTTCACATTGAGGCAAAGCAAGCGGCATGAATATATCTTTAAAAATGAATCATCACAGTCGTGGGAAGTATTTTGTCAATGCCATTTAACAACTTTGCATTCACACCTCCTCTGTACTTTCACTCTATTCACTATTGAGCCAGTTTACCTGAAGTGTCCAAGTCATGGACAGCTCCTTTTAAACACAGACAGAGAATCAGACAGAAAGTACATCTACATACTCAGTGTGTATATTTGCATTTACTGTACATTAGCCCACATTCAGTCGTTTGTATCAGGGAGTGTGAGGTGAAGTGCTTTCACACACTGAGTCTGGGACAGTGAAAAGCTGTTCTGGCGTATTTTCAAGATGTGCTTTGCCCTCACAAAGGTGGCTCCTACATAAAAGTGCAGTAAATATTATGAAGCGCAGCTCAGTGGGTGAAAGGCTCCCATCCATCACACTGTTGTTCCAGCATGAGGCCAAAACGCTCTGTTCAAATGTTATATGGACACTGTGGAGGAATTTGCGATAATTTTTTTCCTCCTAATCTTCACCTATAAACATGACAGAGAGTTTACTGTGTTTGCATTTATGATGAAATATCTAAAATAATTGTGAAAGGTTGACGATGATAAAACGCACAACAGTTTTATTACCATAATTACTGAATAACAATAATTGCAGACTTATTATCTGGATACACACAGGATACAAGGTGAAATAATAAAATTCAAAATTCATTCAGCTATGATTTAAACATGAATTCATTATTTTTATTTTATTTTTAATTATGATCTTGAACTCTCTGTTTCTAGGAGACAAAAGACCTTATTTGTCACTTCCCAGACCCGGGGTGAGTATCACACCACGCTTCCCCATGAAATATTACGATCATACAATCCTTTATCATCCTCCAATTAACGTCATCCTCTCTCCCCCAGAAACACTTGGTTAACTTGAAGACTGCCAAGGCTGTCAAGTTGGATGCGGAGGTAACGTGTCCCGTGAACTCTTCTGCCCTTCAGCACAAAACATCACGTCACATCTCGCACCCTGTTCTGACAGCGGTATTTTCATCTCCGGAAACTCGTGTGTCACCCGCCTGAAGAATTGATGGCGTTTGTAATGTAACGGGCTGCGTTTTTTGTCGAACGGCAGTTTTCACACGCTGCACCACAGGATGCGAGATTTTGCTGATTTCAGATGTTGTGAGGGTGTTAACCCAGTTTGCTAACATGCATTTCTAAACTGACACCCATTTTACTTCAGTCTTCACCATGAGAATTATGTATGTGTGTGCACAGGAGCAAACAAGTATGGCCAAGCTGGGCCTGGAGATCCGTCTGCTGTCATCAGACGTGGACACAGAGGTGGAAAAGTGGGAGGAACAAGAACATGACATTGTCCGGCAGAGCCAAAGCTTGGCCAGTATGGCCTACAACATGTACCTGTTCACCAGGTAGCCTCGGTAGCCACACACTACATACACAGTCACCCACATGTTAACAGATTTTCTATGGTAACAAATAAGCTTTCTAAGGAATCTCTTAAGAAGCTCAGTGGTAATGAGACCCTCCAGCCATCAGCTATCAGCATATATCACGTGTTGTCTCTGACACTGAAATCATTGAGATTCATCTAAGTCAGTGTTTTGTTTTTTTTTTCCCAGACTGAGGGACACAAACACAAACACACACACACACCTGGGTATTGATTAGGCCTGTAAGATCAGTATTACCACTTTCCTTTCATTACATTTGAGTTTAAAGTGGTTTAATAATAGGCTGTTAATATAACCAGCTAATAAAAATAGTGTAACTCACCATGTAGTTGCAACAATGAAAGCCCGAAGCTCGTTTCTGTGCAACTAGGGACGATATGAGACAGTAACAGTGTTTCCCCACATACTAGACACATGTCACAGTTAAGTCATATGTAAGGTAAGGCTCATCATTTACTGAGTGCAGGTTTCCATTTTCTATGAAGTCTCTGGCTCTTTTTCATCATTGGGCCTTTTATAATAATAATAAAAAAAATAGCTACATTAATATGCACTACTTTATATCCGTTATATGCGGCCCAGTGGACCACTGATCTAGTTACAGTTTGATAGCTCTAGATGTTTTTTGTCCTCATCCATCTCTCTCCATGTTTCCTTTCCTCATTTTCTGTGTCCCATATTGATTCCCCAGAGGGGAGGGGCTGCTGAAAACAACACTGGATCTTTTTCATCAAGCTGAGGTACGTATCCGCTAATCTCCCCGTCTCTCTACCTTCTATTCAATTTTTTCCCTCCTGTTTCAACCAAGCTGTGAGCGAATGCGTCTGTTGTTTCATCACACCAAAGGCATACAAGGACTGGTAGAACAACTGGTTGGTGAAAGCCAGTCTCCCGTCACTCACTTCCATCTTTCAGATCTAACAGAGCATGACAAGGACTTATCGTTACGATTGAAATTCAGTGCGGTATTTTCCCTGGCTGCCTCGGACACATGGGGTGATAACAAACAAGGTTGCTCGGGGGTGTATCCTATTGAATTGGGATCATTGCCAATAATGTGCAGTGCTTTGTAGAATCAGGGCTGAAAAATGTCAGCAAGGATTTATTCCATTTGCAATGGAGCGAGGGAGATAAGAGAGGAAGAGGAACGAGAAGGGACAGAGACGGGAAGGCATACAGATAAGAAGTGGTGAAAAAGTGAAATCATAATATTTGCCAGCTGTGCTTTCCTGCTTTTGACTGGTGTCATTTTTTTTCCTTGTATTTGTGAAAGTTGTTTTGATTTTCATTGTCTTTTTTTGTCTTTGACTCACTCTTAAGGTTCTTTCTGAAGAGGGGCTCCAGCTGTGCACAGCGCTCCGCACGTTTTCTACTCAGGTATAACACGATGAATCAATCTCTCTCTCCCCTTGTTCTTTCTGCACACTCACACACACACACACACACACACACACACACACATACACACACACACATGCAAGCATTGACGCACGCTCGCACACAGTTAAGCCTGATTACCAAATCCCAATCCACTCATGTAATACCTTTCCGAAATATCTTTGCACATTATGCACTTTAGAAAAAGTCTTATGTGTAGAGAAAGAAGATATGATAGAAAATAATTGCAGTGGAAATGTGAAAATGAATTTAAAAAAAGAAAAGAAATACTTTTTTTTACTCAACATGCCCCTGTTCCTCTGCTGGAATCTGCTTAACGCCCGAAAACTGATAGGAATCTATCAATTGCAGAATTCAGCATAGAGGTAAATAATGAGTGAAACCAAAGACAATAGAACTTTATATGCAGACACACACACACACACACACACACACACACACACACACACACACACACACACTGGCACCTGTGCACCACATCTGTGTTACGCCTCTCACACAGACACACATCCATATCACCCACTCTGGCATGCCACGGTACCAGGGCTGCCTTATAAATCACATGGTGAGAGCAGGAAATTAAGGCTGTCATGCACTTACACCGTCCTCCTCTTCCTCCCGAGTTGAGACTCAGCAAACAAACCTAGCCCCAGTGTCTTCCTTCCTCTTGCCCTCTACCAACTCCTTCCCCAGGTCCTCCAGTTTTTAATTAAATGGCCCCTTTTGACAGCCATTAACGACCACCATTTGTCACTGCTGTGTCTGTGGGTGAATATATTTGTGCACATGTGCAGAGGGGAAGGTGTGGGAGTTGACAGCGACCGCCCAGGACTAATTCATAATCAGCAGGCCCGGCTCTTTAACTAGTCTCACGCTTTCTGATTAATTACATCAAACAAACTGCTGCTAATGAAGTCCCTCTGTCTCGCCCTCCACTCCCTACTTCTCTGGCACTTGTTGCACATCTGTGTTGCTCTCATTGAACCTATTTATGCAAATGAACATTTAATTGAGGTTTTATATACTTTTATTAGTCGTGAATAGTTGTACTCTGAGTAACAGAGCTGGTGTTTTTAGGTCATTTGTGGCCTCGTGGCCACATGTAACCGAAGTAGATTGATGGCCCCATGACTCAGATCTGGGGATTAACTCGGCTGAGTAACAGACTTAAGCAGTAGATCATGACCTGGGTGTTTCTGATGGATTACATAAAGCAAGACCACATTTTAATTTATTTTATCCTTTTTTTTTTCCTTTTTTATGAGGCTCGATTTGTGTTTGACCAAGATTGTAAATCCAGTCCAGTAAAACGATCACTGTCTGTACATATTAAGCCAGTGTCTATTGACAATATTGTCATAAACCACGTCTGCTGCTCTGAAAACTATATATCTGGTCTTTCTGTTTGTTCCAGCTGGTTGATGAGGAAAAGTCTGCGGTGATGACAGAGATGGAGAAACTGGTGGCATTGTGCCAGCAGCTGCAGATGGGGGCCAAAACTCCTGTACAGGGCAAGACTGCCACCTTCCAGAAGGTACCCTCACTACGCCTGTGTGTTTCCGCCTTTTTTCTGTTCTGTTTTTTGTGCGCACTTGTTCTAAAAATGAATCACCAACTTGTTTATGCCCTGAGTCTGTTATTTTTGATGTATGAGTTATATCCCGCAGAGTGCACAAACCAGACTTGCTAATTACCCTTGACGGCATCAAAACTACATCCCCAACAACAGACGGCGTAATAAAGCATGACTAACCGTTTTACTTCATTATGGTGTAATCTTTGAGTGATCTGCGAGCATTATCGAACACACAGCGCTTCATTGGCATTAGTCTGTGAGGAATTAATGATCATCTCAGGGCAGGGATGAGCTGCTTTAGGTCACCTTGTAATAAAGGCATGGTTGGAATCAAAAGGACGGGATGAAGAGTAGCGCTTCCTCTGCTGATTAATGAGCGTCTCTTTGATATGTATTGGCTCCTGTCTCTCCATCCTGATGTTAACTTTATCACTCACTGCTAACAGTTGAGTGTGTTTCTCTCTGGGGTTTGTGAAGCAATGAATAGGAAATGTTTGTTTAACAGTTCAGATCTGTGCTATCCCCTCAGAAAATGGTGATGTATTTTATATCTTTGTGTCTAGGTGGACTCATCCATTCAGACGACGAGAGGCATCTTGGCTGTGGTTCTCTCCCTCCTCCCATTCTGTAACAAGCTCAATAAAAAGGTGATTATGTGATATTAATTCATATACATTTACTAGACTGGCATTAAGTAGAGGGAATTCCTCCGCCAAGGCCCAACAGCCACTTTATGAAAACACATTTAAATTCACTAGATCAGGATTTTTGTTTGGATCTACACCAAATTGCCACATCAATATCAGTCCCCTTAACATGTCAGATTTTTTTCCCATGAATTATTCTCTGAGAGATCAAGGAAAATGTTGAAATACACCTGATCTCACAATGTTAAAGAAAGTGAGAAAGAATTCTTGGATCTCACCCTGATCTGAATTCACACCTTAATGTAAATGGTTCTTACCCAAAACACATCCTTGTGCCAAGTTTCATGGAACATCGGTTTTTCCATAATCCTGCTAACGTGCAGATGAAAACATAACCTCCTTGTTTATTGTATACACTGTAAGTGTAATTATTTCTCTATTATATATTTAAAATGTTGTGTCTGTCCCTTCATTTTCTGTCCATTTGCAGTACAAGTCAGAGAGAAGTAGCCTGGGGTCCCCGCATGACTGGAGAGAGAGGCAGGATGCGTCCACACCTGTCAAAGAGGAGGGAGCTCTCAACAGCATGAGCAGCAACGGCTTTGGTGTCAAGTCACTGGAGCAGCACATGGCCGGTCTCAACCTGCTGGAGAGCAAATAATCCAGGAAACAGTCGCCCACTGATTTGTAGACTATTCTCCCTCGGAGCAGCACATAGACCAACTCACCTTTCTGGAGAACGTGTAATCCAGGAAATACTTTACTCCCCTCATCCTCATTCACCCACCACAAAGTGGGCCAGCTTTGGGTTAGTTTGTATTTGCTGCCTGGAGGGTGAATTTATAAGGTTTACAGAAATAGCAGCTCAAAGCTCTCTGTGCCCGGAGGGTAGTTTGTAACCTGAAGCACCAGTTCCACCCCAATCCACAAGATGGAGACAATCAGCTAACAGTAAGACTTTGCCATCAGTATCAAGCCTTTTCTTGCACAAGCCTGATTATTGCAATCACTCTTCATTAAGTTGATAAACTGTTGGTGAACCAGGAAGGAAGTCCACTTAATGTTCAGCTCGGCCATACATACGTCTTCACCACGTGCCTCTGTGTAAGAAGCCTGTTTGCTTTGTGGTGTACTGTAAACGTGTTGCACGTTTGCCGTTTGCATGATGTCATCGTCACCAAACCCTTGTGTTCCAGTCTCATATGATTATTGTGCCATAGGCTTGTAATGTTGATACTTGTTATGTAATTTTAGCCATTGTTGTACATTCTGTCCTCGATGCACTATAGTCAGCATCTCATGTGCATAATTACTGCATAGTTAAGTATTTTAAAAGTGAATTACACTGTATGATTAATATCTAATTTTTATAGGATATAGACCATCCTCCATGTGCCATGTTAGGAAACGCAAAGAATAAAACACAATTTAATGCCAAATATGATTGTTCACATCAAGACACTCAGATCTTTAGCTTGCTACTAGTATGAAACGTAAAAGCTCTTAGTCCTCCAGTGTTAATTACTGGACACATTTTTATTTAACCCTGGTTTCTCGGCTGCTTAAGATTAATCTCATCATGAGATGCTTTAGGACCTTACGTTATTAAGTTCCCGGTCTTGTCAAACCACATTCTGTGTCAATAATTCTCATTTTCTCACAAGAGATGACAGATAATTCTGAACTGGCACCGGTGTCTAACAGAGCCTTGAAGTGTACTTGTTATGAAGACTATCATTGTGAAGCTGCCTATGTATTGAGTGGTAT